GTGCGTTTAGGGGGGAAAATAGCCGGAAATTCAACTTTTAACTTTTCAAACAACCACCATACGAACTAGCCGTTTGATTTATTGACGCTGCCGCTGGATTCGGAATTCGTGGTTCATTTGCGAATAAAAAAAATGTGATTGAAGTCTAGCTGAATAACAAATGTAATTCTAAAAAATGCAATTACTATATAAATAATTGTTAAAATCTAAATCAGATAATTTTAAATTGAACTGGCTTTTACCTGACCAAAATCAATTTAAGAAATTAAATTAGAGCAAACAATGATTTTCACAACTTATTTATTCCTATATGACAGCTGTTTCGCAACACCGTACCTAAATCAAATACAAAAAATTACAACTTTCCGGCGTCAACAAATATAAAAGGTGGGTAATCCTTAATTAACAGTTATTTTAGTAAATTTAAATTTGAGTTTAGCAATATGGATGTATTCTATTCGAATTGGTCAAGTAGTAAATTCGAACGGCTCATTTTATTAATCTCCATAGTTTCCTATAATTTAAACGTGATATATCAAAATTTTCCTCAAACTTGTGCATATTTGAATTTAAATCAATGGCATAATTAGAATCACAATTCTTATTTTAATACGCTTTTTTATGTTAAGGCTGCCTTTCATTCTTTGGACAAGAATTAACTATTATAAACCAAATAGCTTTAATAATGTCTTGATAAGATTGTAACTAAAAACCTTTTCAAATAACTCTGAACTCCGTTTAATTCATATTAAACACCGATCGCAATGTTTTTAGGACAATAAAATACATAGATTCGAATCATCTCTCTAAATGTATTTTCAAACTTAAAAAACAATAAAATTAAATCACAAAATCCGTAATCTACGGGTTAAAATGTGTCCTAAAATTTATATCGGACAAACAGGTAGAACACAAAAAGCATATTCAGAAATGCACAAGTTTGAATATAATTTTGATATTTTACATTGTGGATTGCTGTTAACTTTAGAGTGAATGCAAAATTTAAAGACACAAATATATTGTAATCAAATAATGTAGAAAAAAATTGCCAAAGGCCCCAGTTTTTTGCGTTTATAAACACCTAATGGTTTATAAAGGTGACGGCTACCTATTAGTTACAAATAAATGAGGAATTTTATTCTTCTTCTTTGAGTTTATTAACAGCATCTTTGCGCGCTCTATTTTCCTTGAATAATTAAATGTAGGACATTATGTCGATCGGGGCATCTATATTCCATGTACAAAATATTCTAGCTTTCTAGTTTTTGTCATTTTGACTATTTGGAGTTGTGGGTTTAACTAATTACTGACCTATATGAGTGAACATAAAAAACTTAATAAAAATTAAACTAATCAAAAATCTTATGGCCCTGATAATATGTCTTTTGACCTCCTTGATAAATACATTATTAGAAGAGGGATTTTTTCCTACGGCCCTGAAAATTTCTCTAGTGACTCCCATTTTTAAATAACGAACGGCTTCAGAACTGGTAGATCAACCCAAACAGCGGTTTACGCATTTTTGGAGCACACTATCAACTATATTGAATCTGGGGAACACAATACTGGAATTTTTTGTGATCTTAGACTGTAAGTACCACGAAAATTTTCTGAATAGGATGGAACAGTACGGAACTCGCGGAGTAGATCTGGGCTGGTTCGGATCGTTATTGACAAATCGTAGACAGTTGAAATAAAGCAGGAAAATGGCAACTTAGATAGCGGCGTACCGCATGGTACTGTTTTATTTATCCTTTTCATCAATGAACTTGGATCTATCCGATTTCGCTGACGACGACGAAGTTTAAACTTCTCACACTGTTATCAAACCCTGGAAGTAAGAAATAATTCAGCACTTGTGCAGCTCAATAGCTATTGGCTTCTTTAGAGCTTTAGTGCTTTAGAGTTTTAGATCTTCTACTCTGTTCCTGCTTATACATATATTGTTTGAAGGGACTGAGATAAAGGAGGGGCATGAACATTATCTCGGATAACTCATTTCTATATCGGTGAAAGGTAAAGTCCTGAGACGAGGTTAAGATTATTAGATTGCTTATAGATTTCTCGATTCTCAGATTTTTCTTTGGCAAAAAAATTGATTACATTCAAGAATTTTAGCTTTACCGAATAAAATTTGGTGTCTAGTTTCATGATCCAGAAGATTTATAAATAGTATTACGGTGGCTTGTTCTTCTTTGAAAAATTAGCTTAATAGCTGGTTTAACACCAATGACTTTTTGAATTCCAATAAGGGTAGCGATATTCAAATGCCCACAAGAAAATCTTCCTGTGAATGTCTGGTCTGATGGTTTATGGTACCTTAGATATTAACGGCGAACGGTACATTAGATTGTTCTCAAAACTTGGTTAGCTCCATAAATGGCGATACTCTATCGATCTAAAATATTTTAAACACTGCAGCGTTGTCGTTTCTTCATATATGTATTTTATTACATTTTCCTAACCGCTGATATATTAAGATTGTTTTGAAAAATACGTTCCTATACCTCTCTTCAGCGGTTTTCGAGGAAATAATTATTTTCTTTATTTATGGACCAAAACAGCTTAGGGAAGTAGTGGACATTATTTATTAATGTCGAAATCAGTTCTATATCATACAGGGTTCTTCAAAACTAATGATTTGCCTACGAGATACAAAAATGGTGAAGGGTACTTTTTTGCAAAATTTTCTTTTGTTTCATTAAATTTCCTGCATGTTCCGAGTATAATACTTTATTGAACTGTCAAACGGAAAATGAACTATTTAACATAAGAAGGATATTTCATCGCCACTTAAAAGATGAATTATGCCAAAGTTATCAAGTTTTCAGAGAAACTGGCTTTTATTTTAGAAACCAATCAATTTCGAAAGAGAATTTTGCTCTTAGAATATGTAATAATATACAGGTTGCCATTTTTGTATCTGGTAGACCAATCATTAGTTTTGACTAACCCTGGTATAACTACGCGTAAGGTAACATCAACCGTGATTGGAAACTGTATTATATTATCGCAAATCGCAAAAGAAACTGTATTGCTGGAGTATCGCCGAATAATTTGTTTAGGCCCTTCTTCATAGAGTTTAAAATACTATATCTAGCGTGTACATTAGAAATTATGGGTGTATAAAAATAAAAATAACTTACAAAAAAATGCAGATTTCCACGACTACTATGCAAGCAACGAACAATGTTTTTCTATATAAAAAAGAGAGTGGAATTTTGGAAGAAAAAATAAAAACACCGGAGTTAGAGTGTACTTTTTCCAGAGTTAAAGAATAGTGCCAGTATTATTAAATCTGAACCAATTTGTCTTCTCCTAGAAAACTCAAACTTTAGAGGGATTATTTTACCTATTAATGTTTGTCGTCACTGTGTTCTGTCAAGTATTTTTATTTTATAAACTTTTAATGTAATTTTCGACTTCATTTGGATACAGTATCTTGTGTACTTACTTCACGAAATCCATAATACAAGGTGATTGTATTCTAAACATGTGGGATAATAAAGATATTATTAATATTATTATTATTATTTTAAATATATTATTATTATTATTATTATATTACTATTATTATTATTATTATTATTATTATTATTATCATTATTATTATTATTATTATTATTATTATTATTATTATTATTATTATTATCATTCCAGCCTCTCGACAGCAATTTGCAGTATTCTTCAAAAGCTTGGAGTTTCTTTTACAGAGTCCCCCTATCAGCTATCCACCTAATATATCGATGTCTACGATTTGTGTGAGTTTTATATGGGAATGAATTTGGTCATCGTTACTTTTATACGATTCTCCATTTAAATGCCTTAGCGGTTTTATAATAGTGAAAGGTAGGTAATCGAAAGGTAACCAGAATTACATTACTGATAAAACAGGGGAATAACCGATCTCTAGGGCAGAGTTTTACAGGTTATAAATTTGGTGGGGCTGTAAAAAACTATACTGTGCGTTTCGAAAACGTTATTTTATGAGAATATAAGAATGTCGCATCGAAATAATTGGTAGCTTGATGCAAAACAGATTGTGAAAAATATGTATGAAACTTTAATCAGTAGACGACTTTGGTATTGGTATTAAAGAGGGGCGCCCCCCGCCGGCGTCCAAGCACTTAGGCTACCAGATGGGCCCGTTGTGCCCCCAGACCGCGCTAGAGGGCGTCCAGAATGCCGCCCCACCTATAGAAGGGCAACAACAAGTAGAGGACTTATTCAACACGAAGCGTTAAAAACTTACAAAAACCCCAATATCTTCGATAAGGGATGTTATACGTAGTGGAGAATTGAAGAAAAAGAATAAACGGAGTGTTTTTCAAACTCACCGTATAGACAATAGCGATCAGGACCTAATAAGAAGAAAAATATATTGTTCTTATCAAAGCGAAGTTGTTCCTCCCTTGGATAAACTGAAAATGAAAAAATGAAAACGCATCGCTATAATACACGCTCGGTCAGAAGACGGATTTGTCTTCAACTGTTTGCAAAGAATATTAATGATTTCACCTTTATTGAAGACTTACATTTCTATACAAGACAACATAAACTAACATATAATTAATTATAATTAATCTCAATGACGACTCTGATAGGAAAACAGAATTAGGTTCACACATTTAGAATAAAAGTGTAATTATGTATCGACATTCCTAGCTATGAATTTATTGTATATATTTAATGTCATTGTTTTTTCTTAGTGCAAAAGATAATTTCTAATGTTGTCCTTGACCAAGAGTCGAAAGCAGCTGGCTCCATGCCAGAACAGAATGGGAGTTAATGTTAATGATGGCATAGTTAATGGTTTTGGACCCACGACAACCGAAGACGTAGTGAAAGTTCTTTTTCCCGATTTGTTATTATTACTTATATTTATAAAGAATCGCTGGCGAAACAGATATTGGACATTATTCGCAACATTGGCGCACCTTTTTTACACAAGTAAATCAAGTAGACGGAGACGACGGACTAATCTATCGGGTTTATTCTAGTTGGACCGTTTCCAAAATAGCGGCGAGAACACGCGGGCGCCGTGACGCGAACACCGGCGTTTTAAGTAGGCTATGACAGCCCGCGAGGTGGTACTGGAAGGAGGATCGCCTTGGGGATTTCGCATGAACGGCGGAGTCGACCTGAAAACGCCACTGAAAATATCCAGGGTAAGTCGCACGATCGTTTCTTGTTTTCGCACCATTGCCAATTTTTATTTAGTAGCACATTATCATATTAATACATTGTTCACAGAATAATTGCTACTCTTACATCTAATGTTTTATGCTCTGCGTTTTAATTAAGATAAATCATTTTTGAGCTGTAGTTTTTACCTTATTCCAAAGGCATAGCATTGTACAGGCTGGCCAATTTATTACTGATTTTACACTACTGATTTTAGAAAAAAAAGTTTATACAAAAGTTTTATGGTTTAAATCAAAATTATTTATTTTTTGTATATACAGGGTGTTCGATAAGTTCTTAACCTACAGTAGTTTTAAAATTTTGACTACTTGATCAAATTTTGACACATTTTTAGAAGACTTTCTTCTAACCATATGCAATGACTAGGTATTTTAAAATTATACACGGTGTCGTAAATTAAAGAACATTTTTTAAAATTTCAAGTTGCAGTATTCATTTTTTTTAATGAGACGCCCATGTTTATGATATTTTTTCTCAAACCGGGTAAAAATACCTATAATTTGGTATATATATGTCCTATCTATCTAATCCTAATCCTATCTATCTAATGGTTTTAGAAATTTTTAGGAATAAACTCCGCTAATTACATATTTAAAGAATTTGATAATGGCGTATCTTTCTGACATTTTATTTCAACTTAACGATTGTTTCATCGATTGATGAGACAATTAGTTATGATTTCTCACATTTAAACAATGTTTTCATTAATAGTAAAAAACTCCCATTTTTTTAAAGGGCATAATAATATTATTATGAAACTTACTCTTTATCCTAGTAGGCTGTGGTAACCAAATAAGCGTTTATAATTGTTTTAAGTGACGTTATAATTAGCAATATTATTATTACTTAAGTTAAAAATGTATACGGGCCACGAGCTCTCTTCATGTGAGATGAATCAATCAAAGCCAATAAGCCCCAGCTACAATGGATGAAGAAGAGCGAATGATACACCTTCATATCCTCATATTATGAACGAATGTATTACTACTCAATTTAGATTTCAGGTTGTCAATATGTTTTTTTTTTCAAGAGACTGTTGGTTAGAGAGAGTGAAACCAAGAAAGTTTACTTTATCACTGCTAAAATAGTAATTTTGAGTCATTTGCATATTTAGAAAGACTCTTCCTATTCAACCATGTCGGATGTTTTTGTACCGGGTTATTCATTATATTTTGACACCCACCTGCAGGGTCAATTTTGAAAAATAGAAAAAAAGGCGTAAATATAAAAGTTTGAAGATTTTTGCTCTATTGTCTCATGCAAATATGAGAAAAAACAAACGACGATCGCAAGCCGTCAAAATGGAATCCAATGCACTATATATTATTAGGTTAAATCGTAGATTTTAATCAAGCAATATTATTATTACTTAAGTGAAAATGTATACAGGTAACGAAAGTGGAAGTTAGAGACGCAATTTATAATTATTTCTGTAACTTGCACATTACGACTCAGTTATCTCAATTATAACGGGTGTTTTTTTTTATGTATAGAACTTTAAGTTGCAATACAACAACGATGGATTATTCGATTGACATGAATTTTATTCATCCGAAAGATAATCTTGTGGCATTACATTCTAAATACGATTTCTGGCATATCACCGCCACGGCTGGCGCGGATGTAGTCCAATCTGGACGTCCAATTTTCGATGACGTTTTCCAACATTTGTGGCCGTATATTGACAATAACACGGCGAATGTTGTCTTCCAAATGGTCAAGCGTTTGTGGCTTATCCGCATAGACCAATGACTTTAGATAGCCCCACAGAAAGTAGTCTAGCTGGTGTTAAATCACAAGATCTTGGAGGCCAATTCGCAGGTCCAAAACGTGACCGTCCAACCAAATGTGTCTTTCAATAAATCGATTGTGGCACGAGCTGTGTGACATGTTGCGCTGTCTTGTTGAAACCACATCTCCTGGACATCACGGTTATTCAATTCAGGAATGAAAGAGTTAGTAAACATAGCCCTATACCGATCACCATCGACTTAACGTTCTGGCCATCATCGTTTTTGAAGAAGTACGGACCAATGATTCGACCAGCCCATAAAGCGCACGAAACAGTCGGTTTTTCTGGATGTAACGGTGTTTTGGCATACACTTGAGGATTAGCTTCGCTCCAAATGCGGCAGTTTTGTTTATTAACGTAGCCATTCAACCAGAAGTGCGCTTCATCGCTAAACAAGATTCGCTTATGAAAATCGGGAACAACGGCAATCTCGTTTTGGGCCCATTCGACGAATCTACGCCTTACTTGATGATCGTTTGGCTTCAATTCTTGCACGAGTTGGATTTTGTAAGCACGTAAACCAAAATCTTCCATAAAGTGGATGGACACAGACCCAATTCCTGTGGTCGATGGCGGATGGACCCATTCGGATCTTCCTCAATGCTACGCTCTACAGCAGCAATTGCTTCTTGTGTACGCACCGTACGGCGCCTCTGGGAATGCGAGTTATCAATAAGAGTAAACCTGGTGCGAAAACGTTCAATAGTTAATCGAATTAACTGCTCTGATGGACGATTTTGTCAACGATAAAATGGACGTAGTGTGCGATACGTATTCGGCACAGAACCATTATTTTCGAAATAAAATTGCACTATTTGCAAACGTTGTTCAGGCGTGAGTGTATTCATGATGAATTGCCAAACCAAACTGAGAATAAATCACTTGACAGCTGTTAAATCGGTCGCCATCTTGAACAGTAATGCCAACTTAAAGTTCTATACATCGAAAATAATAACCTTATATTATCGACAAATTTTTATTGGTACTAGCATTGCAACAACAGGCTTTCGCATATTTTCTATAAACTTTTTAAAATAAAAAGTAACTTTGAACAACATGTTTTAACGGTTTTTATTCGTAAATCAAACGTGTATCCAGTTGTTTATCTCTGTTAGTCTGCTAGTCGAGTTAGTTCAAAAAGAGTTATATAAATATGTTTCCTACACTGTTGAAGAAACTAATGGATGGACTACAATAATCTGGCAAGGAAAACCTTGTGAGCGGATTCGGGACTACCGGAATACAACCTTTACACAGTTCCACAGACTCTATGGGTTCGGCAAACGATTTTAATGATAGTAGTTTAAAAAGAAAAAAGGCCGATTATCAGAGAAACGAAAAATTTCATTAAAAAAGGTTAATCAATAAAGAAAACGAACCAAAACTAAGAAAAATAGTAGAAAATAATCTTTCGACAATTTAATGGGAGATCAGCTTGCCCAAAAAAAGATGATAAAATATTATCTTGTACAGATACAGAATCGCTTATTGCATCCACAGGTGATATTTTTTTTACTGTAATGAGATATCATGTAAACTTACGTCTTTTCATGGGCATTTTAAATTATTTTGGTTTGTAGTAGTATTTTATAACCGTTTCCGCTTGTGTATCTGTGTATCTGAGAAATAAAAAATTGAAAACAAAAAAAAATGTTTTTCACAATCGCTACCTATATATTTTTTTCTGCCGATTTCAGTGATGTGGGTAAATATCAGTTAAAAGCAAAAATTGAACACAAATTCTTTATTTTTTCAAAGGCGAGGTACAGCTTTTATTTTGAAATGATAGTGATAATCAGAATCCTTGATCCTATAATAATTAATATCACAAATATTGGTTTTCATTCCGATTACTTAAGTAAATGGCAAGTATTGGTAGATTACTACTACAGCGAAAAGTTATAAGATGTCTACAAATAATTTGTTATGCATTAATTTTACTTTAGAGAAATTGATTGGTTTTCGTCTGGATTTATTAGAAATTTTGTTGCCATCTTCAGAACTAATAAGGATGATTTTTCCGTGTTCTTATTAGTCCTCAAGAAAGACAGGCTGTAAAATTTTTGATTAGAAATTTAACTGTTAATTGTTATTTCCATACCAAACATCTAAATAGTTTTTGTTTAAATATTACAAAAATGTATCGGAATCATCTCAAATTTTCTACTGTAAACGATAATTTAAAAAAAAATCAGAATTGCAGAAGTGTTTCACAGGATTTTGAGCTTGAAATGCCTTTTACCACAACTTATTATTACTGGAATTTGATCTTAATCGACTGAAACAGAGGGAATTTCACAACCGCCTAAATGTTATCAAAAATTTTAATTTCGACATTAACACTTTTACTTAAAAAATAAGTTTTTCGGTGGATTGCAAATTTGAGGGATTTACCAAAGGAATTTTTCAATAAAAAGCGATTAGACAAAGAGTTACTCATCATGTTATAATTTAGAAAAATTTTAATCAATCATCAATAACAATCTTAACCAGACAGATAGATAGATATTTATTATGTTAAAAACAATATTAAAATATATTTAATGGTCGACTTACAGCATAAACATTCACAAATAATTAACAAAAACTCATTCAAGGAAAACATATTTTTACCAATAACCTTGCTTGTGTTCACAAAATTACTTTTTTTGTATTTTACAATCAGAAAGACCCTAGTAAATGTACAGATTCAACATTATTATTAACCCATGTTGTATAAAAATTGCTTTAACATCCTCATCCTGAAGTATAAATACTCTTTTCATGTTAGGTGAATCAGTCCAAGCCAATAAGCCGTAGCTACAATGGGAAAAGAAGAACGAATGATACACCTTCATAGCCTCAGTTATTAATGATCGAATATCTTACTACTTACAGATTTCAGCTTGTCAATGCTTTTTTTTTCTAGACAGTGTTTGCCAGAGAGTAAAACCAAGATAGTTTACTTTATTATTATTATTAGGGATGTTTGCCTGTTAAAATAGTATTTCTGAGTCATTTGCATATTTAGAGAGACTCTTCCTATTCAACCATGTCGGTTGTTTTTGAACACTGAGTCTCTCCTCCAAAAAAATTAAATTTGCAACTGCAGTTATGGCGGCATCATCAGCAAACGGCGCTGATTCTGGACCGAGTCCCACCATTTATAAAGGTTCAAAATGAGACCGGCCC